TAGCTTCTGGAGGTACTAGCCAAGCTCCCCATCCCATCTGATTTTTATTTTGGAGAGATTATTTTAATTAAAAAATGGAAATAGGCATGCTGCTAAGTAAACATATAAATAGGCCTGCTGGATCAAGCTAAGGCCCATCTTAGTTCTCTTTTTGTTTCTTGCAGTGACCAATCAAATACCACTGGGATATTTATAAGCAGGAGATGGAGACATCATTATTTCATCTGTAATTGATATTTGGAGGTATGCTGCCCCAAATCCAGACACAATAGTGAATATTCAAGACCGATAGTCCTAATGGGTCATGAAGTTATCTAATTTGCCTAGTTAGTGATTATCACTATATCTTGTAATGAATTCCATAGCTTAAGTATGTGCTGTGTGAAGAAGTGCTTTCTTGTATTTTTTCTAAATTTCCTTCTACCTTCATCAGATGACCCCTGGACCTAGTGTTTTTAAGTGATGAAGGAAAATTTCACCCATCCATTTTCTTCATAGCATGAATGATTTTATGCACCTCAGTCATATATTCCCTCAATCACCTTTTTTCCAAGCAAGAGTCCCAAATGTCCTAGCTTTTTCTTATAGGGAAAAGGGTTTGATCCCCTGATCATTTCTACTGCCTTGTTCTGTTTTTTTCAGGTCTATTATAATTTTCAGATGTGGGAACCAGAACTATCTGTATGTTACAAAGCTGACATTTTTGTTTTCAGCCATTTTCCTAATGATCCCTAGGATGGAATTTGCCTTTTTCACAGCTGCCACTCCCTCCCAGTTTACATCTTCATTATCCATTATAATCCCAAGATCTTTTTACTGGTTGATTAGACAACTAAAGCCCCATCAGTGTATGTTCGTGTTTAATGCCCCAATATGCATCATGTTTCACTTACTTAAATGGAACCATGTTAGCCATTTGGTTGACCATTCACCAAGCTTAAAAAGATCCTTCTACAGCTCCTCCTAACCACTTGATTTTACAACGCTGAATAGTTTAGTATCATCCACAAACTTGACAAGGTGACAGTTTACCTCTAAGTCAAAGTACCAACTACAGTTTCATCTACATTTTAAAAAATGAAGGATAGCAATAGCCAAAATCTTGTTTGGAAGTGTGCTTATATTCCTAGGAAAAATAACAAAGGTAAACTGGTAATTAGATATTTTATAAGTAAGTATAATCACTAGGGTAATCATTTTGTATGATTAGCCACAACATGCTCTCAGATGGGTCTATTGGCTCACAAAAATGTGGGCCCCTTAATTTTGTCTGATGAAAAATTCGTGGATACTCTAAAGCTGGCAGAATATTTTGTAAAAATATTGCCTCAAAATTAATTCTGGATAGATATGATAGAAGCAGTAAGTACCACAAAGATCCAACTATACAAGTAAGTAAAGTTTCCTGTCAATAACCAGAAAACAATGTCAGTGTATAATTAATTCTTCATTTAATCAAGTGAAAGCAGTAACAGACATCTGAACTTCAGGACTGAATCTAGATTGGATAAATGAGGTACAGATCTACCAATTCCCTGCAATTAGAGCACATGAAGTGAAGTCTATGTTATTAGAATCCATACAGGATTTGCAGCCAAGAAGATAATATGGATGAGGGGGCAATCTATCAAGTTAAATGAGAAACAGGAGTTGTGTAATGACATTATTTAGAGAACCAGCCTCTGTTCACAGATTATCAGGATATCTTATTGCCTTATAAAAACACTACATTCCAGCAGCATGCTCTCCATCACTTCTGAACTATTTGGGATTCACCATTTCCGATCAGAGAATGAAGAACTGAAAGGATAAGTTTATTCATGGTTTCAATCAACTCAGTGTTTTGAGTTCACACAACAAAATGAACTATAGACTAATCACATGGACTGGGTTCAAGCAAGACAGCAGATTAAAATATGGGTAACAATCTATTCAAGTACTTAAGAGGTAGAGCTTGCATAGTGTTTTGAGTTCACACAACAAAATGAACTATAGACTAATCACATGGACTGGGTTCAAGCAAGACAGCAGATTAAAATATGGGTAACAATCTATTCAAG